ATAGCCATGGCCAGATTTTATGCTAAAAACGGTAGTTTGTCAAAGACAAAATCCTCTTAGAATCTAACCCAACTTGCCAGCCCTGAGAAATTCCTTTCAAGGCCAAGGAAAGCCGAATGCTAACAAGCTAGGCCCGTGTACTTCATGACAGCCAATAGGGGAGAGCGCCCTGTTGAGTGCCGAAGCCACACGGGAGTTCTCCTTGCTGGGTTCACTTGATTGTTTAACACAGGATGTTTCGTCTCATATTCTAAAGTTTTATTTTGGGCAGAAGGTCATTATGGAGAAGTAAATGACGCCATTTCTGCGTTACGCGTGACTGCCCCCTGGTCGGCGAGAGCGGTGTATGAGGTGTGGACGTTGCACTGTAAGACTTGAATCTGTAAAATTAGAATCACATAGGTCAAAACTACAGCAACTTGGAGGGCCTGACCGAAGGTGCACAGACTGTAGGAAGAACAAAGCAAAACAGATTTTTGATATTTCAGTGATTCCAAAGAACATTCTAGTTTTTTTTAACTGCAGAAAATTGGTGGTATTTCCACATTCATGGTGTTTCTATCCAATTTCAGTACCCACATTTTGTGAGGGGAAAATGTTTTAACATTGCAGGAGGAATTCTTAAATTAACTGCAATGATTGACTGGAGAAAATTTGGTATTTAGGGTATTTTTAAGGTACCATCAAATCAGGTTTTTTGTTAAAAAAATTTTTTTTAATCAGTATTGTTTTTGGAAGTAATATACTTTGAAACTCTTGAACTGATAGTCTCAAAAACTCTTAGAGGACAGTCTGAGAGCACGTATTCCTGTTGTTTTAAATAAATAACATGGTTTTGAATAGTAAATTCAATCATGGATTGTTGACTATGTCTTCATCAAAAGTGTTAATCCCTCTCAGGGTCTCTGGTGAAGACCTTCAAGAGTTCGGTTTTTTCTCCCAGAAAATTGGAAGGTAGAATTGTAAATTCATAGAACTTATTTTATAATGGTGTACCTCAGCAGCTGCCTTTCAATTTATGCCAAGTCCTTACTGAGTTTATACTTGAATAGTAACTATGTCTTCTGAGTTTTACAATGTCTTAAACTCAATGCACATTTTTTCTTCTTTTCCCACCCTTTCTTGTTTGTCGTTCATTAAAATGTCCTATTACAGAGCTGATTTCCTTCCTGGCTGTACTTGTTGGGGTGCTGGATTTTTTCCATGTCTTTGTCTTCCATAAATTCAAATATATATATAAATATATATATATATATGTTCTTTTCTTTAGCTTGTGGTGAATACAGTAATTTGCATTGAAAAAATAAAACATTTGTTGCCTTTTTTTAACTAAGATTTCACAACTTTCATTGGTGCCTGCTGCTGAAGTTCCAAGACAGCATACTCTCACGTTTAAGGGCTACCTTCCAGAGTAGGGGAGAACCAAAGATTAGAATGAAGAAGCGAGGTTATTTGCTGTTCATCCAGCAAATCTTACTGAGCATCTAATATGTTCTGGGCACTGTAACAATAAGGTATCAAAACAGATTCACTCATGGAGCCTGCTTACATCTGGTAGTGGGAAGAAGACAACATATTTGTGTTGATTATAGTAAATTGTTAGTGCCTTGAAAGAAGAGAATGGGATGCTATGAGAGAGAATGAGAAGTTAGTTTAGATGGGGGAAGGGCAGAAGACACCTCACTGAGAAAGTAATATCAGTAAGAACTCAAAGGAAGAAATAAGTAGGACATGGCCAGGCAGAGAGACTGAGAACGAGCTGCTGGGCTCCTAGGGCTGGGGAGCTACAGGAATGCAACACTGTAAGCAAAGGCCCCAGGTCAGGGGCACGAGCTCCAGGATCTGATGGAAGGCCCAGTAGTCGGCGAGACGGGAACCGAGGGGGTGGAATTGCACGCTCCCGTGATGGAGAGACCAGGGGACTGCTCATGAAGCCACGCGAAGGATTTTGTATTTTATCCTAAATGCAATCGGAAGCAAAGAAGTTTAAGCATGCAAGTGCTTTGATAAATAATTTGGAAGGATGGCCCTGGCTTCAATATGGAGACGGGTGGGGTTGGGGTGCAGGATAGAATATGAGCCAAAAATGGAAATAGTAAGACCAGTAGGGAGACTTTGAAGTAATTCAGCTGAGAGGGGAAAGTAATCTGTAAATCCAGTGGAGACAGAAAATAAATGGAATTAATACGTAATCTGTCAATAGTCAAAGGAATGTAGCTTTCTAGGAATCTACTCCTGAACTTCGTTCATGAGATGGTCTACTTTTGTAATTCTTCTAGACCATAAAAACGAGGACTTCAATATTAAATTATTCAGTATGGAAGCAAAATTGTAATCTTGGAGCTATTTCAAAGGGAAAGATACGTCACATAGAAAATACTAGCAAGCAAGCTGTGTGGAAAAGAGTAAATGAGATCTATACTCTGCACAGCCTGAAAGCATTTTAACAAATTGAAAGCTAGGCTTTTACTGGTGATACATTGTACCAGAGAGAACAAAATGTATTTTTTATATTTCATATTTTCCAGAAATATCTCCAGAATTCCAGAAAAAAAAAGTTTTTAATGAATTGCCACTTTTTTTTGAATGATACTGATAAATCAAGGGAAAGTCACAGAGCCATTTGCAGGCCATTTGAAATCACAGAAATAATTTCACTAGCAGAAAATGACTTTTGCATCAATTACAACTGATCTTGAATATGTATCCCTGAAAACAAACTATCCCACTAAGATCAGCTCTTTCATAGATTGTACATGTTTTGCTATTCACTTAAAACAATTAATGCTAACCCACAATCAAAGGATTTAAGAATTAATTAATGGAAAACATTTAAATCAGGCAAGTAAATTTATTTTTTCTGCAAAAAGGACACAATTCTGGGTTTGTTTGGTTTTTTGTTTTTTTCAGAAAAGTATCCTGTTCTGCTTTCCAATATTGTTTGACAACTCAGGGGTTGGAGTTTAGCATGTATAGCGTGATGAGTAAAACAGGAGTGAGCCTGGACCCCAGGTCCCAGGCCCATGAAGCCACTTATCACAAGTAAGCAAGTACTTCCAAGCCGTGGTTTCCTAATCTGTAAAATGTAAATGACAATACTTCACTGCGTATTTTTTTTCCTCAAAGTGATTCAAGTATTTCAAAAGGAGACAATGTATTTATAAATGTTTAGCACCAGTACTTGGCACATGCCTGAGTAAGTGGATACCTATCATTATCTTTATCCCCATTTTTTAAAAGTATTTATTTAATTTTTTTTAGAGGGGGGGAAGGAAGGGAGAAAGAGAGAAACATCCATCAGCTGCCTCTCGCAGGCCCCCAACTGGGGACCCAGCCTGCATCCCAGGCATGCGCCCTGACTGGGAATCAAACTGGACATCCTTTGGTTCCCAGGCCAGCGCTCAATCCACTGAGCCACAGCAGCCAGGGCATGCCCCCATTTGTTGTTAATAGTCTGTTCTAATAGTCAGAGATGGTGAAATGGACTAACGTTGGTCACAAACTCCTTGACATCTCTTCCATCCTTAAGTGACGTTTATGTCCCCTCCCCTTAAATCTAGGTGAACTCTGTGTCTGCTTGATCAGTATAATTCAGTGGAAGTGACTCTGCCAAGTTTCTAATCCCAGGCCTTTAAGTGGTGGCAGCTTCCACTTCCTTGAAATAATTGCTCTTGGACCCAGCCACCATGCTATGAGGAAAACCAAGCAGCCCTGGGAAGACCTATTGTACATGGAGAGGGACTGAAACCTGCCACCCCAGTCCTCTAACAAACATCCATACTGAGCGCCCAGCCAAAAGCCAGCACTAATTTTCCAGCCATGTGAGTGAGCTTCTGCAGAGAGGCTCTTCCAGCTCCATTCCATCTGCCCCAAACATGCGGAACGGAACAGAGACTAGCTGTCCCTACCAAGCTCTGCCCAAATTACAGATTAGTGAGCAAAATAGTTGTTTTAAGCCACCAAATGTTTCGGGTGGCTTGTAACAGCCATAGGTAATCGGAGCTGATGAAGTCATTGTTTCCTCCTCCACTCTGATCCCGTACAAGATTTAGCTGTAAAAAATGTGGGCAAGTTCATTTAGTCTAAAAGAAATAAGTGGTTTGTACAGAAAATAGGTCATGCGGAAATTTGCTGAGCTTGCTTTGAGCTGTGTGACTAGTGCATGACTTAAACAGAACTCAGTCCAGTTATTCAGCAAACCTTTTTTAGATGCCTGTCCTCTACGTGGTGTTAAGCAGAGTGAGTACCTCAGAATTGATCTCACCCTTGATACAACTGTGTCTTGATAACAACTGCCATACCTTAAATTTATGTACCATGTACCACACTCGGCCAAAAGGTAATGTAATGCAACAGAAGAGACATAATGCCCAGTGATCCAATCAAGAGAAATCAGCTCTAAGAAGACTTTTTGGCAAATTTTGGCTTTTTTTTTTTTCTGATTGCGTTGTTCAAAGGGGTCCTGTTAACGTTACTCTCGCCTAATTAGCAAAGGAACCAGTTACTGCCGAATAATCTTTATGCTGTGAATATTTATGATGTTCAAGATAATCCACTTTCCGTGAGGCTTTCCTTCCGCTAGAGGGAGTATCTACTTGCAGATCTGACGTCGGCAATCTGCTTCAAAAAACAAGGATTGGCTCTCCAGAGATTTGCAATTTATAGTTGTTCTTAAAACCCGTTTTAAGCTACTTAATCTTCCTCTTAAATCTTGTGATATGCACATGAGGAAACTGAGGGACTTGGCTTGGATTCCTTCCATCAAACTGGGGCGACAGGAGATCCAGCCGCCGCACAGCGTGAGAACGCCTCGACGAGAGGGTGGTGCTCCCTGAGACCCAGCTTCCTTCCCTTCGGCCTCCATCCTTTTCCATCACTTCCTTTCCCTATCTTTGCCCCGCCCCGGCATCGTGGCAACGCGTCTGTGATTGGCTGTCCGGAGCCTCCAGGCTGTGGGAGACGTTGCAGTTACCATGGTGACGGAAGGCGGGCGCGGCGCCCAGAGTTAGGTAACCGCCGCCAGGGCCTCGCGGCGGCTGCAGCGGCTCACGCAGCGGCTCACGCAGCGGCCTGGCGGGGCCGAAAGGCCGGGCCGGCGCGTGGCTGGGCCGTGACCCGGCCGTGGCCTCGGCGGCAGGGCCTCCCCGATGTCGGTTGGGGCTCTGCGGAGCAGAACGGAAGTTGAGCCCGGACTGCGGGCCGGGTAGGAGGCCGTCGGGCCGGCTCGCCCGTGCAGGGTGGATGCGGCGGCGGCGGCGGCGATGGACGCATTAGAGGAAGAGAGCCTCGCGCTGTCTTCGTAAGTGACACCGCCGGGTCCGGGGCAACCTGGCCCTGGCCTCGGCCTCCGCCCTTTGAAATGGGTGTCCTGGCGGGATGGGGGACTGTCGAGGCTCCGCCCCAATTCCTGGTGTCGATTTTGTCGTAGTTAGGACCGCCAGCGTCAGGCTCGGGAGGACAGGAGTGTGGGGCGGGTGTCACGCATTGATCATCACCTCCATCACAATCCCCCCACACCCCCCTCCAGTCTTTCGTCGCCAGCAAAAGCTGGCGGCTTCGAGCTGCTCAGGCTCGGCCACGGGTCAGAGGTCCCTCCACCACCAGGGACTTCTGGTCTGGTTTCTCCCGCACTGGCCGGGATCTCGTCCGCGCCAGGTTCACGCTCGCAGACCTCTAGGCGTGGGTTGATAGCGAAAATGCGGTGAGCAGAACCCGCAGGAGATAAATGCGGAGGAGCCTTAAGATGTTCCGTGCGACCCGTTGCCCCCTTTATTTCAGATTTTCTGAAAGGTGGAGCCATTACTTTCATCTTCGACGTCACACAAGTGTTCAGTGTGTTTACTCTGTTTGGAATTACTAGATTAGACAATAATCATTTTAATTGTTGAAGCTGAGTGATAGGAAGTTGATTTGGCTGGATTTTTCCTCCCAACATGTTTGAAAATGTCCAAATAAATTTTTTTAAAAAAACGATTTGAAACAGCACCTAATCCGGCATATTTTTCAGCTCTTCCGCCTCCGATGCAGAGTTTGATGCTGTGGTTGGATATTTAGAGGACATTATCATGGGTAAGCTTCCTCGCTAGTTTGACCTGTTGTGCTCTTTATTTCTTACACCCTTGCTTTTAAGGACACTGACATCAATTTGGAAAGTTATTTTTAAAAACGTAAATAAGTAAAATAAGTTTTACTTATTTATTTTTAGAGAGAGGGGAAGGGAGGGAGGAAGAGAGAGAAACAGTGATTGGCTGCCTCCCACATGCTGCCAGTGGGGAGCCTGGCCCTCGGCCCAGCCATGTGCCCTGACAGGGAATCCAACCAGAATCCAACCAGAGACTTTCTCTTTGAGGGAGGATGCCCAGCCCACTGAGCCACACTGGTCAGAGCAGTTAATTTTTAAAAGAGAAAAAACATCAAGCTGCATACAATTTTTAATGTAGCACAGTGTAATAAATAGTAAGCCTTACTGCAAACAGGCCAGTACTCCTTAAAACAACTAATGTCCCCCGATTCAGGAGTCAAGAACAGACTACAGAAAATCCCGCATCTAGAAGTTATGGGGCTCTTGGCAGAACTTCAGGAAATACTGACCTATTTTATTTCAGAGACTGAGCAATCTAATTTTAACATTTTTATGACATCAACCACAACGTAATACCATTGTCACAGCACGAACGTCCATGAAGAAAACAAGGTGTCATACTTTAGCTGGTTCTGCATTTCCTATTTGTGGGTTCATTTCGGCATCCATAAGTTCTATTAAGTAATAAGCAGTAAGTGGCACCGAAGGTTTAGGACATGTATGTGGGAGAGAAAAACTTAAAATCTAAGAAACTTTTGTCTCTTGACTTCAAGTTTTCTGAGAACTAGGAAAAGAACACTTATTTGCTGTTACCAGCTGTATTTCTTAGTCTAGTTTAGTCTGAGAATCACTAACCAAGTCTTTGTATGGTCGTGCGGGTGCCCTTACCCTGTAAGTACAGATATTTCACCATTAAGCTCTCATTCCACGTGGACCTGAGGATGTGGGGAAGCTGAGGAGTACTTTTGAGTTTTTTGCCCTGGAGGGGCACCCTGTATGCTGTGGGAAAATGGACCGTCTGTAAGCCCAGGGTATTTACACCAAAGTCTCTTCAGCTGTCAGAATTTCCTCTTTTCTAACATTTAAGTGTTTGCTATGAACTCATCTCTTTGCATGAATTCTCAGGTGAATTCCACCTGGCAATCCTACGTAACAGGAGCTGTGATCATCCTCATTTCCCAGTTGAAGAAACTGGATATTAAGTAACGTGCCCAAGGTCACGCAGCTCCAAGCGGCTGCGGTGGTATTTGAACCCAGGCGATCTAGCCTCTGTATACATTTATTCACTGTACTATTTTCACCGCTGCTGCTGAATTTATATGAAGACAAGAGAACCATTTCATTCCTTTGTGGAAGAGTAACGGGAGGGAGCTCCTAGCCGGCCCGGTGCGGGCGCGTGTGAGATGAACTGGGCCGCCGCGTGCTGGCTGCCCCGACGGTGTGGAGGCGCTCGGGGCCCCCACCTGCACACTCAGCATTTAGTGAAGACGTTATGTTGCGTATATTTGATGACGATTTTTTAAATTGTAATAAAAAAACTGTATTACTCTATATTTCAACACTGATGCCTCATTTAACTCTTCCTCAAAACACCTTTAGCTTTCTCTCTCCTGGACACTGACCACTAAGAAACCAGTTCTGACTTACAATTCCTGACCATTTATAAATCGCAATGGTTTTTAGTCTGCATTAAAAAGGATAATTCTTTTTATTGTGGTTCAGATGACGAGTTCCAGTTACTACAGAGAAATTTCATGGACAAGTACTACCAGGAGTTTGAAGACACAGAAGAGAATAAACTCACCTACACACCTATATTTAACGAATATGTAAGTGTATTTCTATCTCTCTTACCACAGGTTAGGGTTTCATTAAAAAGTGAATTTCAAATTAAAAGATGCTGAAATTTGCCCTGGCAGGTGTGGCTCAGTTGGTTGGGCACTGACCTACAAATCCAAAATGTTGCTGCTTCGAATCCTGGTCAGGGCTCTTGCCTGGGTTGCAGGTTCAGTCCCATCGGGGCGTCAACCAATCAATGTTTCTCGCTCTCTTTTGCCCTCCCTTTCCCTCTCTCCAAAAAATAAATAAAAACTGTTTAAAAAAAAAAAAAAGATGCTGACATTTGCCTACCTTGAAATCTGCCACCAGTACTCTGCCCAGAATTCTAATTAGAATCTGGTTTAGTTTTCATCTCCTGCCGTCTTCCTCCACACAGCTTTTGGGGCTCTCTTTCAAATGTTTGATGATTTTATCAATTCCTGTTTTAAAAGATGTTTGGCTTTATCACAATCCTGCTTTCGATTACAATGTGTGGGGTCACCACGCCTCGCACTTGCGTACTTTTGACATTTTGGCTTTCATACGGTTTTTCCTGCTATGCAGTCCAGTCAGGTACGTATGACTTTGGTAAAAGTGAAGACCAAGACCAAGATCACTACCTAGTTGGTGACAGAACCGAAACTAGGATCCGGGGACTCCCGTTCTCCACCCTTGGGTCTCACGACTCGGCCAAGGTCTGGGCACCGCCGCCTGGGCTGAGCTCACCTACCTGAGAACGGGCTTGCGCCTGCAGGACATTCTCTTCCTACCAGGAAGCGTGGCCCAGTCACACAGGTTTCCTCAGCTTGCGAGGGCCCTGCGACTGCCTCTGACCACAAGCTTTTTCGTGTGTCCTCTTTCTGCACAGATTCCATCAGTCCAGGTTGAAAGGCCCCTTCACTTCACTCCTGAAACGCTCTGCCATGGGGGGGGAGCCCTGTCGCTGTCCCCATTGACCTGAGAGCTGGCGCTGTTACAGTGTAATTGCCTGCCGGTGGCCCTCCCTCGCAGGCGGGGCGGGTCCTCCGGAAGGACGGGAGCGGGGTTTTGGTTCTCTCTGGCCTCCCAACCGGCAGCCTGACACACAGAATAGGCTCTCAGGACGGGCTTTCTGAAAAGAAGCCTTGCTGTGGTCTCACAGAGATCCTTCCCACTCTTACAGATTTCTTTGGTAGAAAAGTATATTGAAGAACAACTGCTGGAGCGGATTCCTGGATTTAACATGGCGGCCTTCACAACGACTTTACAGTGAGTCAAGCCTGACTGTTTTACCTTTCTTTGCCCCCCTTCTCCTCCTTCCGTCTGAAAAAAAGACCCCCTTTTTTTTGTCCCATGCTTGAACGTCAAGGCTTAGAGCACTTGGTCGTCGGGTCCCAGGCAGGAGGGCCCCAAAACCTTTGAACGAATCTCGAAGAGACAGAGGCCGTGTCACCCTCCATTCCTGAAGTGGCCCCCCTCTTCCTCTGCAGGCACCATAAAGATGAAGTGGCTGGTGACATATTCGACATGCTGCTCACGTTTACCGACTTTCTGGCATTCAAGGAAATGTTTCTGGACTACAGAGCAGTAAGTCACTTTTTTTTTCTTTTTTGTTTTGACTGAGTCGCTCATGCCTGTTCAGCTGGCCACACTGAGCCGCCTGGGACGTTCTGAACTGAACAGCACTGCGGGGCCCAGACCACCTCCATGCTTCTCCCTGCGAGCCTGGCCAGTGGCGGCTAGTAGGTGCCAGAAGGCTGAGCCGCTGTCCTCTGGCAGGGACCCGGGGCCCTTACTGGGGACGTGCATTCTCTGGTTTTAGCAAAACAGGTCCCAGGGACCTCTCAGGGTCCCTAAATGTTCAAAAGGACAAAACTAAAAGGCAGGTCTCATTCAGCCTCGCCTTTCTTCAAATGCAGGCTCTTAAATAAGAAAAATGTTTTTCAGTGAAGAGAGGTGCATTTTTTAAGACTGACCACGGCCAGTGCTGAGCAAAAATGCAAACACCGCCCAGCCGCCCCCCCACCCCCCCATTCCTGTGCGCTCCCTGGTAGTCACACTCCCACCCTGGGCGCCTCCTTCCCCAGGCCAGGGTGCGGAGCTAGGGAGGGCTGCTTTCTATTTCTTGCCTCTTGAAATTGTTTCTTTTCCATGTAGGAAAAAGAAGGCCGGGGGCTGGACTTAAGCAGCGGTTTAGTGGTGACTTCATTGTGCAAATCGTCCTCTATGCCAGCTTCCCAGAACAGCCTGCGGCACTAGGCCCACCTCTGGCAGTGAGACTGTTCTGGATGTCTGCAGCCCAGCGTCCTGGGAGAGGCTTCAGCTAATGGCGGAAGGAGAGACCGTAAAGCGACCGGCCCTGCTGTTCTGCAGCTCTTCATTAATGTGTCAAGTATTGATGGGTAAAAAAACTACGTGACCCTCCTGGGACCTGTTTCTTCAGAAAAACCTGTGCTCAGTAACCCTGGTCCTCCTCCCTAAGTGGACGTCTCTCTCAGGGGCTTGAGGCGTGCCGAGCACTCCACCCGGGGGCAGGGTGGGAAGGCGGGGCGCCTTCCCCGGCACGCATGGCGGTGCGTCAGCACGCAGGTTCGGTCCTCCGGCCTCCGTGGGCTGCTTTCTATGTGGGAGCTTCTGCCTAGGGTGTGACTCAAGCCAGCTGCCTGTCCTGAAATTTCTGGAGCTCCTGTTGTCACAGCGAGTCCTGGCTGCAGGAATCAACGGAGAGACGTCCTTTATGTCCTTTACCTAAAAGCCACATGTTAAAGTCTATTTCCAGCCTTCCATTTGCAGTCCCCATATCCCCGTGTCTTCTCCTGGTCCTGATGTAGTTTTACTGTTTCTAGAACTCTCTCTTAAGCCTTTTTGAAAGATATTTTTATAGATAAATGCTCAGGCTAACCTAGTGGATGTAATCTTGGAACTTCCACGATTACCCACTTCAAGATCAAAGTATTATATGCGTGTGCTCTTTAGCTGGTAGTGCTGTGAGCGTGCAGATGCTTTCCGTGTCGGCGCTGATTCTCCCGGGCGCCAGTGGACGCGTGCTCGTGCTGGAAGTCGACTAAAGGTGTCCTTTTCTCCTGTTCCTGTAGCATGTTAAGTGTTTGTGCAGGTTTGCTTTAACTTTTTCTGTGTAAGTCAGTTCATTAGGTTTTCTGTTGGGATAGGGTCTGCAATTCCTTCTTACAGTCAAAAAATCTTGCTACCAAGACAGTGTTCTGCTGGTCTGGCTCAGCAGGAATAGGAAATAGCAAGCATCTTCTCAGCTCACCTGCCTGCTTCGATTTAGTACATGGGCTCAGCAGTGTTTGCTAGACCGTTACTGACCAGAACACACGGATGTCCCATCTCTAGAAAGAGGAAACATAGTTCAGTTCCCAAAGTGTACCTTAAGTTTGTTTTCTTTAAGTAAAAATTAGAATCTGTACTGACTTTCTCTTGGCTGTTTTGCTTTTAAATGATGAGTTGTATACTGTGTTGTTTCGTTATTTTTTTTTAACTGATACAGTGCTTATTAAGTACATTTGCACTGTGAGTAAAATTCAAGGTGTTTTGTAAGAACCGTGATTCTAAACAAGCCATTTCTTTTCATTACTGTAGCTGCTGCCGTCACGTAGGCATGGCTTTGGTCCGTCAAGCCAAAGGCACTCAGAGCCAGCCTTTTAAAATGCCACCTCTCCTGGGCTTGCTCTCCCCCGGTTCTTTCTATCCGTGGGACGCCCTCTGCAGGCTGGGCACGTGGGAAGCACTTGCCAGTCTGCCTGGCTGAGAAAAGGCAGTTGGACAAGTCTAGAGATGAAATTACCAAAAAAGAATGAGAAGAAAGGCAAATGGTTCTTGACATCATTTTCCACTAAGAGAAAGAAGCAAGCAAGCTTGTTGTAGTTTAATAGTTGAAAACAGGTTTTCTGACTTCTTTCAAAACAAATGGGAAGTCTCTGTCCAAGAGACAAGAGGTCTCTGGTATGTCCTGTGCCACGCGGGGCTCCGGCCTGGGAGGGAAAAGCTGACGCCCCGCCCAGCCCCAGCAGAAAACAACTGCATCCCCGGTGGCCGCCCTCCTCACCCGTAGGGAGCAATATTGCCCCAGACTGCAGGGTCTAAGGACCGGGGAGGTGCTGCCCTGAACCAGTGTGAGCACGTTCACATCTCCACTGAGTGAGGCTGTGGATTAGGGCGTCAGAGACCCGTAAGACTTGCCCAGGGTTTTGTTCCCACTTCAGCCTCAGAAGAAACTAAGCTCTGATGGCGTAATCCTGGCATGACTGCAGTCTATCATTCTGAGATGCTCGAGGGCAAAAAGGAATGCTGTTAATATTCACACCAGGACAACAGACGTGAACTGGGACATGCGTGGCCGACCCTGTCCCCCATCCCTTTGTGAGGGAGTAGCTCATCTGCAGCGGTTTGAATCTAGTTACATTTTAATTGTTCCCAGTTTTTCAAAAAAGAACCAAGGGCGCCTGGAAATGTCTCACTCATTATTCAAAGCATGTTGCTCTGTGGTGGCAGAAAAACAAGCTCAGGAGGACCCCCGCCCCCGCTCGCTGAGCCAGCCCCGTTCCTCGGTCAGGCAGGGCCACTGCGCTCTGAGCTTCACACACGTTCAAGGAGGCGGCACTGCAGCAGCCCGAAGTCCAGCACGATGACCGAACTTGCCTAAAGCCAGCGTGACTAAGTGATCGCTGCTAAACTGAGACCCTTTGGAGAGTGAGAGGGGACACCATCAAATTTACACCAGGACAAAGGACAAACAGCACAGGCCAGCCCGGTCACGGAACAGCAGGCTGGAAGCTGGTTGGCCCGCCTCAGGCCTCGGAAGGGGCTGGTGGTGCCGAGGGACACCAGCCTAGTGTTGCCCCTCCCCGCACATTTAGAACTTTTGTGCTGTCTCACCCTGCGGTTTCTTGGGGTTTACGGAAGCATCCACAACCATGATTCCACAACACCTTTCCAAATAAGTCCTTCCATCTTTATTTTTGTAAAAAAAACCCTCAAAACTAAAAACAGTGGTAACCACCAGGAACATGACAACTGACCAAGCAAGGTCATGACGCCCTCCCTCCTTCATGTCCCACGCGTCTAATCAGTGTCAGAGAAGCAGTTGGTGTTGACGCTGGCTTTTCCCAAAGGGGCTATTACAGAAAGGGCCTTTGAGATAGGTTTCCATCACTGAGAAGTTGCTTAAAACCAATCTGCTTTTAATAAGTGGTATATCTGAGATGCAGGAAAGGGAGACCGTGCTGTCAGAAACGTCTCCCTACGAGCCACACGTTGGTCTGGGGGAGGGCCGGGTCGGAATTGTGTTTTCAGGAGTCAGAATGGTTTCTTGAGCTTGCTCAGCGCTCCGGGAACAAAGACTATGATGAAGATTAAATACATGTTGCTTGTTAGGCTTATTCTACAGTGGGTCAGGGGCCGCAGATCTGAGTCCTCGTTAGTATATTTAGTGCTGGTAGGAAGGCTGGGCCCTGCCTTGGACCCTGAAGTCCTCTAAAGACAAAGCAGAGACAGTGAGCCCCATGTCCCCCGTCACCTTCTGCTGAATAAGGGGGATGAGGAGGAGGAGGAGGAGGAGGTCTTGGCTGTCGGCCTCTTTCCGCCCCATGCGTGTGCCGACGGGCCAAGCCGGAGGAAGGATCCTGATTCCTTAGGAGTGCTGGGTGAGCCCCGGCCTGATGGTCAGCGAGGAGCACGTGGAGTCCCTTCTGGGCTGAGCTGCAGGGCCGTCCTGCACGGTGACCCGGCCACAGCCTTCAGCCCCAAGGGGGGCCCTGGCACAGGGGGTTCAGGCATAGCCGCCCGCCATCTGACTGGTGGCTGCATTGCTGCCTACGCCTCGCCAGGCCTGGAAGCTGAAGAAGGCACTCACTCCATAGGCGATCATCACTAAACACGCAAAGAACTGAAAGGGGAGAGAAGACACCAAAGCTGAGTCGTCTGCAGCGTAGCGTGGGGAGGGAGTGGTGGTGGCGACACGGGACAGACAGCCCGGGACAGGCACAGGGACACCTCGGGCCCCTCCGTGAGCCGGGACCCGCTGCTCTGGCAGCCACGCCAACTCCCTGCTCAGCCCACACCCCCTGGGGGCTGCCGGTGCAGCCCTCACTCCACGGGGGGAGCCGTTAACCACGGATGTGCCGTAAGGAGGGCACCTGGATGACGTGCCAGCAAGAGAGACTGAGGTGTAGGAGCTACTGGAGACACATCAGGGAGTTAGTTTTAAAAAGGCAGCATTCCAGAGCTGCCTTAGGAATTTTCCGGAATCATCTGTTCATAGGTGGCTGCTTTCAGAAGCCCCGTGTCTCTGCCTCGGTGCCCGGCTTCACGGATCTCAAAACCACCCTCAGCAGGAAGACTGAGGAAACCCAAGACCTGGTCTCGATCCTGCTCTGCCCTGGACTTAGTTGAAGTGTGTTATCTCTCTGAGCCTCAGTTTCCCTGTTGGTCAGAAGGGCCTGGTAGTCCCTGTCTGAGGCAATGTCAGTGCATGGCCTCATGGAGGGGACTCCCGCTCACTGGCTGCTGGACACAGAGCCCAAGTTTGGCCTTCGTGGAGGAGCCTACAAATCCCCCCAAAAGGTCTTAACCAAAAGGTTTCTGCACATGCCCTTTTCAAGGTAGTGATGGGGGTGGTAGTTTTGAACAGCTCCCAGGGCGCACGTGACCCTAAATCAGCGCACCGCAACCGATTTACAGCCAGGTTCAACAGTTACCCCAAAACTTCCCTTCACCCCGAGGTCCTTCCCAAGCACTGTGGCTCTTCAGGGTCTTACTGTTAACTCTGGAAGACTGAGAGCTTGGCTCCCGAGGGACCTGCTGAGAGTTAGGAGGAGGACTCGGGAGGTGGCAGGTGCCTGGCTGCAGACCGGGGACCAGTGGGGGTCCGGGGACGCAGCCCCAACTTTGGCCAGCCCCCCGGCCCTGCCAGGGAACCATACTCACAGAGGCAGCTGCACGCTGGTTGTACGGCCGGGTGCCCTTCAGGGACGTCTGCTCGACCGCAGCGGAACAGGTGATGAAGGCCGTGATGTAGAGGACAGTGGCGCCCATGTTAAAAATCATTAACTAGGGGGCGAGGAGAAGGGAGAAGAGGCTTAACACAGGAGGCTCGCAGTAACTGGAACCTCCAGGTATCCACTGCACGCGCGTTAGTAGCCAGGGCGAGGTGGCGCTTCAGGATGGGCCTGGAGACACGTGGGCCTCACCCGGGCTCTGCCTGGAGGCCCTCTGAGCAGGCGGCACAAGCAGCCAAGGCTGAGGGGGGAGGAAATGATGGGGAGGCCTGCAGTGAGCTGGCCGGGCAGCGACGCTCCCACCAGGTAAGACCCACTCCCTGCGGCAAGAGGCCAATCCAGCCGGCCAAAGAGCTCCAGGCCACTGCTCCGTGTGGCTCAGGGCCCAGCCCAGGCCCCCTTCTGGTTGCCACGGCCACCTTGGGGTAGGGCAGGGGGTGGCCTCACAGCCCTCTCTGCCCCCAGAGAGAGGAACCTGTTTACCTTTGGACCCTCCCTAGGCTCAAGGCCCCCATCAAACTCCACAGTCAGGATGCCAAGCCAGACAGGCAGGGAAGGACCTTCGTTAGCCCTCCGCCCGGCCCCTGGAGCCAGTTAGAGGTCTTAACAGGGGCTGCAAACCGGGGGCCCTCAGACATGCTTGGTTCGTGCCATAGCTTATTTTTTAAATCACCAACATGGTAAAATCAGATTTCGCATGCAAACCTGGAGAGTTCATGAAAACCGTCCCATCATAAAACAGCAGAAGGCTTGGCGGCAGGGGGCTGCTTTCCCACCAGCAGGAGCTGGGGAGGAGCAGAGGCGGCTCCCTGCGGGCCGGTGGGCCCCGGGCTCTCCAGCCCCCCTTCCTGGCCCACTCCACCTGTCTTGCCTCCCTGTAGGGGGCTTGTAGCCCCATCCCAGGAAAATCCCACTTTGGCTGTGCCAGTCCAGCCCCCTGCAGAAGCAGGCAAGCCCGCCCCACCCTCTGCTAAAAGGCCCAGGGAGTGTAAGGGACATGGCCCCACCGGCATGGCCTGGGACAGGAGCCCCTGCCATCAGCACCGGGGCTGGGGACACCTAGGCCCCTCCACCCCCAGAGACGTGGGGCGGGAGCCGGACCCTGGCCGCGGAGTCGGGCCGCCCCCTCCTTGCCCCAGGATCTTCCCTCCGAGCCCGTTGCCCGCTGCAAACGCCGCCTGGCTCCTGCCAGTGATGTCAGGATGTAACAAACCCGTTCTGTCTTGAGGATGACTCACGTTTCCTCGGTCTAAAAAGTCATTGAATTCCAGACAATGCGGCCTAGTCCCAGCCTTGCTTGTCTTACAATCATGTGCCTCTCTCTGCTCACTGAAAGCCTCAGACCCCAGCTGCAGGGGTTTTCCGGGTCAGGGAAAAAACTGCGGCACTTTCTGTCTGGCCCGGGTGCTTCCTATGGACGCTTTTTGTCCTGAGGAGACTGACCTGGGTAAACCTGGGACGTCACCCCCTCCAGGCTGCAGGGGGACGGCCCCGCTGCACCCAAGCGCATCCTGCACACACTGGCCTGGCCATTCCTGCCGGGCCAGCCCAGCCTCCAGAGACCCTCTGCAACGCAGGTTCAAACTCCGACTGCCCCCCAAAATGAAAACTATTTTCAAGACTCCAGATGGCTTCTGGCGTCTTCCTCCAATAGCCCCTTACTTCCGTTCTCTTCCCCAGAGAAAGTCAAGCCTGCATCCTCCCTGGCTCGCGCTCCCAGTGCTCAGAAAACCTCGACACGTAGCCACTTCTCACTTCAGGAAGGTCACCCTGTCACATCTACCCCCCAGCCCCGGGGCAGTGGGCTCAGCCTGGAACTATGCCCAGCGCCCCCACCCAGACTCACCACCAGTGGCCAGGGCACCCTGTACAACTTCAGGTGCAGCTGGAACAGGTAGAGGACGAAGAAGACGATTGTCACCAGCCAGAGGAAGACAGCGACGAACATCACCCAGCCGTAGGCCGGGTACAGGTGGTACGGAGTGTCAGCAATCAGGGCCCACACCAGCAACCCCAGCACCTGGAGGGAAGAGACAGGGCCAGAGTCACCCAGGGTCCCAGCACCCGGGCTGCAGGCCTCAGAGCAGAGTCCCCTGGCCTCGTGCCATTGGGCTCCCTCCCATTTCCATTTAGTCAAATATTTATCCAGCTCTGCCTGCACACTGCTGTGTACCAAGCCCTCGCCTGGTAGCTCCCCATCCAGCCTCAGCTGAGATGTGATGTGTTCCGGTTCCCCACCCCTCCGACCTGATTCCAGAACCCTCCCCGGTGCTCGCGGGGCTCCCCCGGCACCCACTCCCAGGACCGGCATTCTCTTTCCTTCCCCAGCCTGTGAGTCCCCCAAGGGCAGGACAACTGTCTCACTCGTAGCTGCGTCCAGGCACCCAGTCCAAGACCTGGGCCCTGCCAGGGGTTGTGTAAAAGCTGCTGAAAGAAAGATGAAGTCACCTGCAGATCCCTGAGGGACAGATGGACTCCCAGAGGTGGGGAAGTGAACAACGCGTGTGTGTCCTGTGGGTAACAGCCACCTGTGCCCCCCAACCCCGTCCATCCCACCCGCCCTGACCTTCCTAATTGCCCCTCTGCACAGGTGTTGCCATCCCCGCCTTGCAGGTGCCACTGGACCTCAGAGCAGCCCAGGTGTCTGTCACCCCGCTCCCACGTGGCAGCATGGGCCCTAACATCCTGGCAAACGGTGTGGCGTGTGCCGCTGCTGACAGCACGGACTCAGAGACGACGGCCTGGTTTAAAACGCCCCTTCCCTCACCAGGCGAGTGACCCTGGGCAAATGTGCAAGTTCTCTGTGCTTCTGTTATCTCACTGTCAAATGAGCATGATGACCATGCCTAGGTCATGGGGCTGCGTTAAGGACCAAGGAGTTCATGGCCTCAAGTGAATACAATGGAGTGTTTGCTTTGATTATTCCCGGCGGGTCCGCGGTGGCCGCCCCAGCCCTCCCTCCCCCACAGGGACATTCTCTGGAATCCCTGGCCAGCTCGGCATGTCTCGGGGCCGGCTGCTGCGGGGAGGGAGGCTACCATGGGGCTTTGGGAAAGGGCTCTGTGGCTGGTGAACACGCGCAGGAAGAGCGGTGTCCAGGCATGTGGCACCAGCGCTCACGGCGACCTTGTCACCAGCCTGAGATGAGCCAACCATCAGATTATAAAAAAGCCACTTGGGAGCGAGCCCCAGCTCTGGAGGCTGGTTTCTGGGGACAGAAAGTCTCCCTGGCCACTCACACCAGTTAATGGGCTGTGGCAAGGCCCTGGAGCAGATACGAGAGAGCTGGCACTCCCCCAAGGGCCCACGGCCCCGAGGACAGCCAGTGTTGGGCGCCTGCCAGGCCCCCCACCCGAGCACTCCGCCAAGACCCAGAGGGAGGCCTCTGTAGCGATCTCCTCCCTGTGAGGTCAGGCCAAGAACAACCTCCGCTGAGGGGCCCGGAGGGTCCAGCGGCCCCTCTGATCACCTTTCTTGCTCTTCTTCTTGACCTTCCCCTACGAGAGGCTGGGAAAGGTATGGCTTCTCTTCCTGCACCATTTGGGTCTGCGCATCAACCTCTGGGCCTCAGTCCTGCCTGTCTGTGTGACCCTGGGCGAGCGCCTTCCCTGCTCTGCCCTGCGGGCTCACCTGGGCGGCTCTCGCGAGGTTCGCCTGCTACGAGGCAGGCCCCACGCGGAGTCCCATTCCATTCATCGCTGTGTCTCCAGTGCCTGGCATTATAATGCCTGCTCAATAAATAGTGGTCAGGAGTGAACTGGCCTCAGTTTCTCTTATCAGTCACAGGTGGAAACCCGCCCTGCATGAGGGCTGTGTACTAAGAGAGAAAGCAGGTGTGAACTGGCGAATCTGCTCCCCTAACCACAAACAGGCTGGCAGTGGCCTGGGGGACCCACTCTGCAGGTGAGAAGGGTGGCCCAGGTAGCACAGCCTCGCCAGCAGTCACACAAGCTGGGGACAGTGCCCTTATCAATACTCAGAGCCACGGGGGTCTCAGCCCAGGGCCCCTCCCACACCTTTGCCCCCCTCCTTAGGCTACCCTGCCTGAAACAGACTCTCCTGAAGCAACACTTCTGGGTGCCATCGGGGCCCCTCTGGGTGAAAACTGGGCGGGGCAGGGACAAACGATTCTCTTTTGCCTTAAAGCCAGGTCCGCAAGGGACCTGGGCCATCTTGTTGCTGGGCTCCAACTCTCTGAAAGGAAGTTAGACAATGCAGTGAACTGAAAATTAAGAAAAGGTCAATTCACAGTTACATGAGCACACCCCTATCAGTTACAGGCTCATAGACTTGGTCACCGGAACCAATAAATGCCCCCCAGCTCCGGGCCAGGCCTCGGGCAAGCACGTCCCCTTTGATGACACGGGTGCCCCCACAGCCCTCCCATCCTCTGTTGTTTATTATCCCCACTTCCCAAGCAGCTCTGAGGGAAATGTGCCAGGGTCACCCAGCCACCCAGGGTAAAGGGCAGGGCAGGATTTGAACCCAAACCTGTCCTCCTTGGGAAGCCGGGCCCTGAGAGTTACTTAGCGATGTGTACAAAACAAAGGCACTCCAGCTGGCTCGGGGGCCAGGCCGGCAGGCGCCCAGGCGCCCAGGCTCCCCCGCCCCCGCCCGGCCCTCCCACCCAGCCCTGGTTTCCAGATGAACGAGCGCAGCCTCCGGGAGATGGAGCTGCTGGATTAGCAGAGGGAATTTCTGGTTTTCCTTCTGGCCTCGCCGCCCTGGCCCCGGCCCAAGCAGCCACCTCGGTTTCTGCCCTAGAACAAGGAAGGTCCATTCCTCCGTCTGAACCAGACTGACTGGCTCCTCCACCCGCTCCCCTCATCTCCTCGCTCACAGCCCCAAGAATCCGAAGGGAGCACCCCCACCCAGGGCTCCACGCAGACCCCACTCAGAAGCGCAGGCCCCGTTTTTTTCTGAAAACCTAAGGATTTCGGGTTAGAAATGTTCTGTTTACAGGAGGACGGTCAAAAAAGACGCAGCCACGTATGTCCCAGGACCTTTGTGCCTCCAAAAGAATTTCTGAACAATGGGCTAACAGAGAGATTTTTGTTAAAATCACCCGTGGGATCAAAGCGGAGACAGGTTCATCACGAACACCAGACCAAGAGGCACTTCCTTGATTGTCATGGGCCCTAATCCAGTGACGGGTGTCCTCAGGAGAGGGAAAGTGGACACAGACCCGCACGGTCTTGTGAAGACCGTGAAGGCGGAGGCAGAGATCGGAGTGATGTGTCTCCAAACCAAAGGAACACTGACGATTGCTGGCAACCACCAGAAGCCTAGGAGAGAGGCATGGGACAGAGTCTCCTTCAGGACCCCCAGAAGGGGCCAACCTTGCCATCACCTTGATCTTGGACTCGCGGCCTCCAGAACTGGGAGCAAATACATTTCTGTTGCTTTCGGCCCCCATTCGGGGTACTTCCATTGTGGCAGCCCTGGCACACGAAGACAGCGTCCTTCGCTACCCGGAGCCTGCGGTGGGAAACCTGCTCTGATTCACTGCGTGGCGCTGGCATCGGCTCTCACGGCAGCCTGGCCTGTTACCTCTGGCTTTGAGCTCTGCTGTTGCTGCCTTACCAGCTGCAGGACCTTGGGCACGTCGCTGCACCTCTCTGCCTCAGCGTCCTCCTCTTCAAAGTGTGCCTACCTCGTGGAGTGGTCCTGAGCTGTAAATGGAGAGCTACACAGGCGGGGGCAAATGCAGGTTTACGGTTGTTCGTATGGAAAAAGACGTGCAGGTTGAGTATGACCACAGCTTTATGAACGCAAAAGAATGTCGCAGTGCAACTATAAGCCTCCCTTTGCCCACCCCATGTCGAAGGTATTTAGACCAGCACCCAACATAGACTTAACACTTCACACATGTTCTACCTTCAGTATCACTCTAAGACAAGAGAATGTGGGTTTTCCAGTTCATTCTCTGTGCCTAGTGTCCTTGGGTCGTATAGCGTGTACACCTCCCGAGGGCGCGGCGCCCGGGTGAGATAATGAATGTATCTAAACAGAAGCGCCAGGCACGGTGCCTGGCAGATAAGGCCCTATGCCAAGGCGGGCCAAGGCGGGCCCCCCATCTGTCAGATAAGGCAGGCGGACTTCTGGGAAGGGGAGGCCCCACAAGTCCACCCAGCCCAGCTGTAGGACGCCGCGCTACTGCCCCTCACAGGCAGAGGGCCCTGTGCAGAGCACATTGCCCTGCAGACCTCAGTCTTCCCCTCTGTGCAACGGGACCTTGGCCTTCCTTCTGTGCAATGTTCTCCAAGTCTCCCCCGAGTCCGAGGCCCGGCGTTCCTCTACACGGGCCTCCTCCAGGCTGGCCCAGGACCTCCTCCCCCACCAGCCCGTGGGCGCTAAGCTCACACCTGTCCCGCGCAGGGAGGGTCGGAAGCCCAAGTCTCCCTTAAATCTTCCCCACTTCCTGGGCTAGGCCAGACCCCTGGATCAGATGCGCTGCGTGGCACTGTGGGGGTCACCTACACTTTCTGGCCTGTTTCTTCCTCTGTCGTGTGAGGAGGTCGGGGAGGGGAGGCCCACCCTGATCACCTCACAGCTGTTGTGCAGGTAAAACGATGTGAAGGATGAGTTAAAAACCATTGTGGTCATGAGTGGCCGTGAGGGCTGTGTGTTAGCCGGTCGGGGCGTTAAGGGAGCAAACCCCAGCAGGAGGGACGGCACCTGGGAGCCCGCAGGCCGGCTGACTCCGCAGGTCACAGAGATGAGGAAGGGGTCCGGGCGGGGCCCGTGGAGCTGAGAGCGGGCTGTGGCATCTGAGGGAACACAGGCCTGGGGCAGCCAGAACGTCTGACGTTTCCAGAGCCCCTGGAAATCCAGCTTTCTGTGTGAATCCCTCAGCTTTTAAAACATTACAAAGGAAACTTTACAAAAGGAAAAGTACAAGGGCAAGGCCCCCAGGACTTCCTCTCACCAGAGCACCATCTAGGAAACTGAGGCCCAGGCCAATGACGCGAACCCTCTCCCGGGGTTCCCCCTCTCAGGGACACATCTGGACATCTGAGG